AGGAAATGATACTGCATTTGTTAAAATAAGTTGTTTTTTAACAGAATAATTTCAAAGTTGAAGTTAATTTATACACACACAACTTTTTAGGGTGTTTGTATATCTTTTTCTAAGAGTAGCATAAAGGAAAAACTATAAAACTACTGTTCTTCAATTAGCATGATATTGACTGACTTAATTTAACAATGTATTTATTTTCTTTTTTGTTTGTATTTTGTATTGCACTTTCCTGTACTCATAATCAAATATAAATCAATTCTTGGATAAAAAGTTGTTTGACATCCTCCCGGATCATATTCTTAGCTTTTTAATAACAGCACAATTTTAATAATAATCAGTTTGTTTCTTTGATTTTTCATCATATTTTTCTGATATTCACTCTGTGCTGTTTCAGATCAGTTTGTGATGTGTCCAGGTGACAAAGCCTTTTGGGTCAAATTTGTGATATTTTGCTAAGTAAATTAAAGTGGCCTTTGTCTTGACTGTTGTCACATATGATGATGTTTCAAAGGTTCTGCTATGGGCTCAGATGGTGCAACAGAAGATTTAATTTTTTAGTTTTATGTTTTTTCTTACCCGGACTAAAAACATATGCAGCAGTTTTTCTCAACTAGTCTGTAACACTTTCTGACATGTTCTTTAGACGGACTCAGGCGCACACCAGGAATTCCTTGTGAAAGAAGACAGTGCGTTTATTTACAGTGAGAAAACACCAGGTGAATATATGTACAGAGTGCCAGTGAAAAGGCGGTCCGGGGCTCCAGGGTCCGAAGGAAACAGGGAAAGGGTCCAACATGCTCCACTCTCTCACAGAAAAGTCCAATTCCTCTCCTCCGCTGCTCCTCTCGCTCACATACTCAAACTGTGGCCACAAGTTTGCATCATGGCGCTGATCCAGAATCCTTCCCTTATTGTTAATTCCTAGTGCTATAATAAAAAAGCGATAAGAATAAAAAAAATGAAGTAATAAATATACAATAATGTATGTATGATGATTCAAATTGTTTGACTATCCACTCGGTGCAGGCACAACGTTTATGTATTATTGTATAAAATACAATCATGTATTTTCTTTAAAATGTGTTTTTTGAATATCATAATTACAATAATCCAATCCATAATTGTGTTTTCTTGTCATTGTCTTTTCAAAGCAAACAGGAGTTTAAACCACAGCAGTGAAATATGAGCTGAGTCAACTGAAGGTGAACAAGAATGAGCCTGACAGCTGTTGTGTTGTGCAGTTTCACCTGCAGTATATAACATATCAGACTAGAGTTATGTCCTACAGCTTCGGTTCCTGAGAGTGTGAAACGTTAACATGGTCCTTGAACCACTAGATATGTGATTCTAGTTTGGCTCTGTTGGCTCTGCTGCTGCTTTGTTTGCTTTACTTCCAAACTTTCTGCATTTAGCAAATAGCCTCTTTTGCTGTTAGCTAATCAAACAGAGGCAAGCAGAGCGAGTCTGTCACCTTCCTCCTTAAACTTGATTAAATATTACCACAGTGTAATAGTGTACATATAGTTGAGGACAGAGAGACAAAACAGGTGAGATGAGGAAGTGAAGAGAGAATTATGCAGTTTTCCCA